CAAACAATAATAAAATATGGCTTTTTGTGACTGAATGCCACTAGGAAGTTATGACTGCCATTAAATGCCTTCAAATATGATGTTCACTTACAAAAATTCAGAACTTTCATTTCTTCCAAAAATGAAGATCCCATTTAATTAAAGAGTAAACGTATGATCTCACCACTTGGATTTGTTCTTGTAGATATCTCAATATTGATTGCCTCTCCAAGCTTTCAGACCAATACAGTAATCCCTTACTCTAGAAACATTATTATATTCACAGTCATAACATAGCCTCGATCCAGGCTATCCAAAAAAGACAAAAAGCCGGTTACATTTTGTTGCATATTCACTTCAGAAATCTTCCCATGCTGGACAAGACTGATACGGACCCTGTACAATAACACCCATGAGGATAACAGAACGCTAATGCAGCTGCTCTAAGTTAGATGGGGTGTTTTCAGACACATCACACACACCGCTCTTTATTGTAATTTCATAAAACAATTGTACTAATTTTGCAACACCTGCAGCGTTAGTCGCACCTGGCCTTTTCCGGGTATCAAGTTCTTGCACGTGGGTCTTTAGCGCGGCCCAGGTCAACAATGAATACATACGGAGCGATTGCCATATTTGTTCAGACATGAGCCAGCGCTATGACCGTGTGTTTACCTGCACATGTATCATATATCTCGCTGACGATGTGTATTCAGCAACACAATGCCAATTGTCCAACAACGTTTAGAGCCCCTCGATCTGACGATTACAGTGAGGGAAAACAGTATTTGATCCCCTGCTGATTTTGTACGTTTGCCCACTGACAAATAAATGATCAGTCTATAATTTTAATGGTAGGTTTATTTGAACAGTGAGAGACAGAATAACACCAAAAAAATCCGGAAAAACGCATGTCAAAAATGTTTTACATTTATTTGCATTTGAATGAGGGAAATAAGTATTTGACCCCTCTGCAAAACATGACTTAGTACTTGGTGGCAAAACCCTTGTTGGCAATCACAGAGGTCAGACGTTTCTTGTAGTTAGCCACCAGGTTTGCACACATCTCAGGAGGGATTTTGTCCCACTCCTCTTTGCAGATCTTCTCCAAGTCATTAAGTTTTCGAGGCTGACGTTTGGCAACTCGAACCTCCAGCTCCCTCCACAGATTTTCTATGGGATTAAGTTCTGTAGACTGGCTAGGCCACTCCAGGACCTTAATGTGCTTCTTCTTGAGTCACTCCTCTGTTGCCTTGGCCGTGTGTTTTGGGTCATTCTCATGCTGGAATACCCATCCACGACCAATTTTCAATGCCCTGGCTGAGGGAAGGAGGTTCTCACCCAAGATTTGACGGTACATGGCCCCGTCCATCGTCCCTTTCATGCGGTGAAGTTGTCCTGTCCCCTTAGCAGAAAAACACCCCCAAAGCATAATGTTTCCACCTCCATGTTTGACGGTGGGGATGGTGTTCTTGGGGTCTTAGGCAGCATTCCTCCTCCAAACATGGCGAGTTGAGTTGATGCCAAAGAGCTCCATTTTGGTCTCATCTGACCACAATACTTTCACCCAGTTGTCCTCTGAATCATTTAGATGTTCATTGGCAAACTTCAGACGGGCATGTATATGTGCTTTCTTGAGCAGGGGGACCTTGCGGGCGCTGCAGGATTTCAGTCCTTCACGGCGTAGTGTGTTACCAATTGTTTTCTTGGTGACTATGGTCCCAGCTGCCTTGAGATCATTGACAAGATCCCCCTGTGTACTTCTGGGCTGATTCCTCACTGTTCTCATGATCATTGCAACTCCACGAGGTGAGATCTTGCATGGAGCCCCAGGCCGAGGGAGATTGACAGTTCTTTTGTGTTTCTTCCATTTGCGAAAAATCGCACCAACTGTTGTCACCTTCTCACCAAGCTGCTTGGCAATGGTCTTGTAGCCCATTCCAACCTTGTGTAGGTCTACAATCTTGTCCCTGACATCCTTGGAGAGCTCTTTGGTCTTGGCCATGGTGGAGAGTTTGGAATCTGATTGATTGATTACTTCTGTGGACAGGTGTCATTTATACAGTTAACAAGCTGAGATTAGGAGCACTCCCTTTAAGAGTGTGCTCCTAATCTCAGCTCGTTACCTGTATAAAAGACACCTGGGAGCCAGAAATCTTTCTGATTGAGAGGGGGTCAAATACTTATTTCCCTCATTAAAATGCAAATCAATTAATAAAAAATTTTTACATGCGTTTTTCTGGATTTTTTTGTTATTATTCTGTCTCTCACTGTTCAAATAAAACCTACCATTAAAATTATAGACTGATCATTTCTTTGTCAGTGGGCAAATGTACAAAATCAGCAGGGGATCAAAACTTTTTCCCTCACTGTAGCTCACAGCGACAATTATGCTTAACTTCAGTGTGTCACTATCGCAAGCATGTTTCTAATCGGTGTATCGACATTTGTATTGTTAATTTCTTCAAATTTGTATACATGTAGGTATAGCCTATTAGAAGTGTGTGTGTGTATATATTTCCTGTAGGTGCAATATTTTAGAGGTTAGCCCGCTGCGCTACGAAACCGGTGACGGCCACCACCAGTGAGGATTTTCTGAACCGGTCCTGGGCCTCCCCTAGTGGGACTCAGCCTCAACTGAGTCCCTGGTGCGATGTGCAAACATCGCCACTGGGCAGACAAAGGCAGCTGGGCGTGGTGCTGGCCACCCATCTCCTCGTGTACCGTGCTGGCCTTCATAGGTGCTTGCTAACAGCACTTGTCCCAACAGTATGTTAAGGCTACAAGGGGGACCTTTGTCTTTGTCATGTCCTGTATATACAGTGTATGAGAAGTAGTGGTAGAGTGAATGTTTCATTGTCTGTCCACGGCTAACACACTGGTCGGCATCAGAACCTCTCTGGGAACAAAATACATCAGCACTGGGGATATAAAGATGGTCGAGTGTGGTGCTGGTCTAATTAGGTACTTGCTAACAGCACTTTACCCTAACAGTCTATAAGGGTATATATATAGTGGGTCTCATTATGTGTCTCTGTGCATCATTGGGTGCGTTCTTATTCATCGCATACTGCTCATACTCATGCGAAAGGTATCCAATCATTTTCACCCTGGCAAACTTCCCTTGGTTGCTTTCAGCTCTTACTATGCCTCATCAACCACCGACATTCAAAAAGATAGTTATATCACGGACTTCATGAATATAAGTATGAATGTGCAATCATGTCCATTATTATTTCGATTAATCGATTCAATGACCGGGCTGCTTCTTAATTGAAAAATAAACGCCCTGGGAAAATAAATCCAAAACGCTGCTATTCCAGATACTGAATGCCCGTGCGCTGCAGCAGTGCCCATGAGTTTGTGTGTAAGGTGAATGTGTGACGTGGGCATGCTTGCAGCACAATGAGTGTAGGTATAATAAGCGATGAGCCAGTTGTAGTGCTCAGCAGGTGGTTTATCGTGAATCGATACAACGCCACGAAAAGAGGCTTGGTCTGAGCCTGTGTAGCAGGGTGGTGGAGCGGGAACGCTTGTGACTGACAACAAAAACGACCCTGGGTTCGTTTCATAACTCGCGTGCCTTACTGTGTGGAGTTTGCATGTTATCCCCCCTGTTCTGCATGGGGTTTCCTCTGAGTTCTCCGGCTTACCCCCAATAGCTAACAAAAATATTGTACAATGTAACTCGTATTGGCCAAAACGTTCCAATGCTGAAAAATTATCTGCACATTACTCATTTGAAGTTGCATAGAGTAACACAGCTCCCGACGCCAAAAAACTTGACTGACCAACTGAAAAATAGCATTGAAACTCTGCGAAGCTTTCCTGAGTCAATAAGCGTCGTAACAAAAATATAAAATAAAAGCCCTTTTTGCCAGATGGTCACATAACATTCCTACAGTTCCCTATGAGAACCGCTTTGCCAGTACTCGTTCTGCACTGGATTATATAGTTGGGTCTCCATATACCTAAATTATCAACACACCTGCACGTGCCACCTGAAAACTGCTGTGCTGATGCTTCCCTTCACACGGGGAATATGGGTCACCACTTCTGTAGCGTATTGTTATAGTGGTGGAGTGGCTGATTTTCAGCAGTTTACAAAATAAAATACCTGTCAAATTTCACAGTTTGTCCCCCTAAAAAGTACGTGTCCCTTCTACACACACACTCTATAGTGATGTATAAACTAGCAACACAAAGCTCTTACACACATACAAAACGACACAAACACACCCACACACATGTCCTGACAAATACGTAACCAACAACATAGAAGGATTGACCGAATGGTTTGTTCATCAATGTAAATTGTTAAATTCTTTGGGTCCTTCGGTAAAGCCACGTAGATTCATGCCAGAAAGCAGAAACCCCCAGGTAATAGAGCCTGCCATGGATCTAGATACTCTAGGCATGTATTTACAGCATACCTGTCAACCCCTTATCAGTGCCCTACCTTATTACAGACCAAATCAGAACGTATTTGTCGCCTCGTGCCTTTATAAATCTCAACGTTCATCCTACAAGGTCCCATCACAAGGGAGAAACACAAATAAATAGACAAAAAAGTTGCCTGTATTGACAACGGCTGTATGCCGTATGGACCTGAAGACTAAATTTCCCTGTACAAGACTACGGGTAAACTGTATGGGTTGGCAGGTATGATTTCCAGTGACATAATAGGCCTCTGTATAGTCATCTATAAATGTTCTACCAGAAAATTACCATAAACTAGATAGGAAACTGCCCTATAGTCATTTACATGGTGTTCCACAAAGTCAAATCCAAATACTACAGTCCTTGAATGGCTGGGCTGAGGCAATGGCCCTAGTTTACATGATGAGGCCTTTACTTCAAGAGGAAAGTTCAATATTGAGGCTATACCTGAAAATCAACCATCTTAGGGGCACAGTGCTCATTATATTGATATACACATTTGCAATATAAGTCATGAAACCTCCTTAACTGACGTGGGGTTTTTCTCTAAATGCACAGGGGACAGAGAGGGCACCACCCACCTTGGGCAGTTGTGCGTTGGCAGCTGAGCTCTGCGTGGTAATCGTGAGGATGGTGGTGATGCCCAGCCCAGCTCTAGCTGGTGCGGCACTCATGTCAATCCAGAAGGAGAACCAGGATATTATGACGAGCAGCATGCTGGGGATGTAGATCTGGATCAAATTGTAGCCAATGTCACGCGAAAGCGTGATTTCTAGTGAGATGCAGGAAAATGTGCCTGAAGAAAGAAAGGAAGACATGAAAGTTACAATATATCATTCTCACTTCCTGGATTTTATTCCAACTTCCTGTATCTTTTTTCTGATGATGTTTCGAGTAGTTTTAAGTTAAACTTCAAGACACGCTAAGTCTAGACCGGTTTTGACACACACTATCTCATGAGACAAGTCAGACTTGCTTGAATCAACTACCAATATTACAGACCTTCTCTTGATGATATGTTGTCCTATAGTTTCATGCAAAATTACACAGTTACTGTTTACATAACTCAAATAATAAAACATTTTGCCAGATCATTGTGGCCTAACCCAAAAATAAATTACGAATCATAAAACATTTAACTACAATATAGAAGAGAAATCAGGAATTATTGTCATGCGTATGTCCGAATATGGTTGTGAGGATATTTTTATTGTATATAAAAAAACGTGGTAAATGTTCCTCTTCAATGTCATAAATAGTACAATGTTGCTTATCTTTTTCCTACAAATGTATTTGTAGTCCACGAGACGTTTATCATAATTCCCGTGATATTAAAAACAGCGGCACTTCTTGGATGTAAAGCTCTTGTTACCTGGAATGAAACCAGCTGAACTGATAACAAACGAGTAAGCGTGGCCTTTGTAAATGAGGTATTCTTACCACATAAAACCCTATAAAGAATTGTAGACCTTGCCGTCTATCTTATTAATCGTATTACGAATGCTGAATTATCCTACAATTGTGATTTTTTTTTTACTTTTAGCTAATATTTGACACGTCAAAAACCTCTGCAAACTTCATCATTAATACTTCCCTATAATGGGAACATGGTTATTTGTTTAGGTTGTGTCTTTGCACCACTGTCCCTATAGTTCATTATTTTGTTTATTAAACATTTAAACATGCTCATTATCGGTCAACTGATAACCAAAAACAATGTCTTGGATTTTTCTTTGCCTTGTCCGCTGTAAGGCAAAATAAGCCGGTGAGTCTTTACTTGCAAACATGTTTGTGCGCGAGCCGGATTCGAGGGGTTGAGTGAAGTGTCTTGAACTACCCACCAGTCCCATACGTCTGCGTGCAGTTCCCAAGCTTTCCGTCCTCGTACACCGTGAAGGTGGTGACGATGTGACTCGTGTTGAACACGATCGGGTTGGTGTCATTCCACTGCAAAATCACGTCGTTCGTTGTGTATCCATCTGCATGGAGTTATGATTGGGATAGGATAGTGTGCAAGTGTGTTTTTGGCAGGAAAAAAAACATCCTTGTGAAAAGTAAAAAAAAACATGTTTGTGCAGGCCATTCCTGTAAATTGCACGAACATTTAATAAAATACAATTCATGAAAAGATAGGAAAATAATCCATCATGTAACATTTTAATTAGAGGATTGGGTTAAAACCCTTTTTACATCGTGTCACTTTACCAAGTTATTGGATAGACTAATAGCGACCTTATATACACAAGTCCAGAATATCTAAAATGTTACCTATCGAGATTGAAACTATTGTCACAGAGTGTATTCTAAATAAGTGTTTGGAGTTTTAAAATACAAATAGTTTTACGTGTTTCATCTCAAATTTGAGCCTTTCTTCCAAATCCTCATGGCATATACCACTGATAGTGTCATAACAAATGTCAAAATTCCTATTTGGGCGGTACATATAAATATGGTAATTCCTCGCTTAACGCGTGTTCACACAACGCGTTTTTGTGTATGTTTGAGAATCGAAGGGTAATCCTGCAAGATTAATTGTTATACTATACTTCTATACTGCCACTCCAATGCTCCGCACCTTCATCATCTCGCACAGCACAGCCTGGCGAAGTATAGTAACCCCCATGGCCCTAACGGCGTGGGGAGGCCCTTACCTAGGAGTTGATCGAAAAAGGAACTGTGTGTGTGTATATACGTACACACGTGTCTCTGCTGGCGCTAAACGTACACAATCTGTTAATGCGAGCACACTGCAGCTGGTGGCCATTTCTCGTGAATACTCACAGCTCTCCAGGTTCATGTGGCACTTCTGCGAGTCCATGGGGTAGTCATTCAGCGTCATTGTGCACTCAAGTGACATCGTCAACCTGAAACAGCGCACCGGTTATTGCACATCGCTCATCTTTGTTGTTTTGAGTCTCCCTGCAGGGGGGACTGTAATGTTAAACTTATTAACTCAATTCTATAAAGCATAACATTTGGTAAACAAATCTGATAAAATCCACGAATTCACAACAGTAGCCTTTTATTAGCCTACTTGCCTTATTGCTGCTGCTGCTTATTTTCATGGCGCTTATATTATTCCTACAGATATTCCATTTGAATTACGACAATTTACAATTGTTATAATTAATATTGTAATTTAGATTGTGTAGTATTAGTTGCTGCATCAATAATAGTGTACGTGATATTACTACGAGCAATATTTATGCGAGTTTAAGCCACATTGAATTGCTGCTAGCGTAGTTACACACACTTGCATTGGCATGCCCTTTAAGACCAATATTGTAGATGTCCCCTCATCTTAATAAGTATTGTTTGTATTTATTTATTATGACGCTTATTCACTCACGAGAGTCTCAACACTTTTTTTCCAGAGGTCTCTGTCGAGTTTTTGCAGGAGGGAGGAAATATTGCCATGCTCATCACCAAATTGAGTAGTTACATTGGCATTGGGATGTTTGGCCCAATAGCAGACACATTGTATGTCCTTGGAGCTTTTTTTCTACGTTCGGAGGAAACCAAAAACCCCGAAGTAAACTCATGCAGTACAGAAGGAGAGCATAGAGTGAGGGAAAAAGTATTTGATCCCCTGCTGATTTTGTACGTTTGCCCACTGACAAAGAAATGATCAGTCTATAATTTTAATGGTAGGTTTATTTGAACAGTGAGAGACAGAATAACAACAAAAAAATCCAGAAAAACGCATGTCAAAAATGTTATAAATTGATTTGCATTTTAATGATGGAAATAAACATTTGACCCCTCTGCAAGACATGACTTAGTACTTGGTGACAAAATCTTTGTTGGCAATTACAGAGGTCAAGCGTTTCTTGTAGTTGGCCACCAGGTTTGCACACATCTCAAGAGGGATTTTGTCCCACTCCTCTTTGCAGATCTTCTCCTAGTCATTAAGGTTTCGAGGCTGATGTTTGGCAACTCGAACCTTCAGATCCCTCCATAGATTTTCTATGGGATTAAGGTCTGGAGACTGGCTAGGCCACTCCAGGACCTAAATGTGCTTCTTCTTGAGCCACTCCTCTGTTGCCTTGGCCGTGTGTTTTGGGTCATTCTCATGCTGGAATACCCATCCACGACCCATTTTCAATGCCCTGGCTGAGGGAAGGAGGTTCTCACCCAAGATTTGACGGTACATGGCCCCGTCCATCGTCCCTTTGATGCGGTGAAGTTGTCCAATCCCCTTAGCAGAAAAACACCCCCAAAGCATAATGTTTCCACCTCCATGTTTGACGGTGGGGATGGTGTTCTTGGGGTCATAGGCAGCATTCCTCCTCCTCCAAACACGGCGAGTTTAGTTGATGCCAAAGAGCTCCATTTTGGTCTCATCTGACCACAACACTTTCACCCAGTTGTCCTCTGAATCATTCAGATGTTCATTGGCAAACTTCAGACGGGCATGTATATGTGCTTTCTTGAGCAGGGGGACCTTGCGGGCGCTGCAGGATTTCAGTCCTTCACGGCATAGTGTGTTACCAATTGTTTTCCTGGTGACTATGGTCCCAGCTGCCTTGAGATCATTGACAAGATCCTCCCGTGTAGTTCTGGGCTGATTCCTCACCGTTCTCATGATCATTGCAACTCCACGAGGTGAGATCTTGCATGGAGCCCCAGGCCGAGGGAGATTGACAGTTCTTTTGTGTTTCTTCCATTTGCGAAAAATCGCACCAACTGTTGTCACCTTCTCACCAAGCTGCTTGGCAATGGTCTTGTAGCCCATTCCAGCCTTGTGTAGGTCTACAAGAGTGTGCTCCTAATCTCAGCTCGTTACCTGTATAAAAGACACCTGGGAGCCAGAAATCTTTCTGATTGAGATGGGGTCTGTCTCTTACTGTTCAAATAAACCTACCATTAAAAGTATAGACTGATCATTTCTTTGTCAGTGGGCAAACGTACAAAATCAGTAGGGGATCAAATTCTTTTTTTCTCTCACTGTACAATCTCCAGAAAGAAACGCACCCGAGCCAAGAATCAAACCCAGGAATTTCTTGCTGCGAGGCACAAGTTTTACCATCACTGTGCCACCCTGCCGCCTTAAATCAATGAAACTTTAGTCGAAAGTGTTGTTGCTATTATGGAGGTAACGTCTTTATAACTGGACAAAATTTATCAAAAGACTGCAAAAAAACAATCGCGCCAATTAACAATGAGATGTCAGCTTGGGTCGCTGTAAACTCAACGTCATGACGTAGTTTTAGTATTGGAACTATTTTCTAGGATACATAACTATGAATCCTGATTTGAAGCTTTCGTGACTGCAGGAATCCATAATCTTTGGTTCTTTCGGTAAAGTCACGTAGGTAAAATCTACCGCATCGCCATGATTACTGCCTTACAACATCGTTATTCGCAATGATTTATCCACTGCTGGCTGTAGGCCTCCCCACAGCGTTACCATGCCGCAATTCGTCTTGCTCCTGGGCATAAGCTATAGTATCCTGCAAATTGGTAGAATACGAGTGAATACCGCCACCACCACCAACCCAGCCCCGTTTGGCAGAGCCGTTATCCATGCCCTGTTGTCTCATTGCGGCCCTCGGACACTGATTCCTGAACGCGTCAGCACTCAGGTGATGCTCACTTCTGAAGAAAAACGCGTGTTGAAAAACTTTACAGAATCCATGGACACGCAATATATATTTTTAAAACGTTTTCCTTGTTTCAATACAAGGTTTTAAAATAACGATCATTACAGTGCTTGAATAAATTCATTTAGAATGCAATTGAAGGACAGAAAAAACGCACATACTTAAAAGTATCATGTTCCTTTGTGTTTTTATATATTATTCCAAACGCCGGGACTTAATAATAATAATGATTATTATTTGTTTTTGATACAGCGCGCTCCTATTCGCTGGGGCATCTCAAAGTGCTTTACATCATGTCTCATCTCAAACATTAGAAAGGGCACCCCCAGTGGCAGCTGTTGCTTGTGGGCACAAGGCGACCCGTAACCTGGTCTACAAACGGGCATTAGTCTGCCAGTAGGGGGCGATGATTGCTGTGTAATCCCAGTTGAGTAATTTTCGGCAAATTTACGAATCTGCCAAATTTGAAACCTAACGACAGCACAAAATGGCTTACTCTTGCAAATAGTGTCACGGGACTGTTAACATCTGCTGTGAAGCAGACGCCACATACTTCAATTACACACGCAGTATTGATCCAGGGCGGCGTGTTAGATTCAAACCGTGACATCTGCAACAAGCGACGAACGCGAAATCCACTGGGAGCACGTCCCCGCCCATGGAGCCGTCATGAGCGGTGATGGTTGTGGCGAACTGGACGCACCTCATGGTGTAGAAGACGTCCCCGTTCCTGAAGAGACGCAGCATCTTGTTGTCCGCTATGATTGCGTGTGCGCTCGCCATCTTCTCGTTTTCGAAGAAGAGGCAGGGCTTCCAGATGCTGTCGATGTAGTTGTTGCCGAGGTCGTACGAATTTTTAGAAGTAGGGGTAAAAATATTCTGCAAACGAGGGTCGTTCCACCTCATCTGCAGGATTATGGACGTCTGGTAGTCCTGGGGAGTAAAGGAGATGAATGAGAGTAAGGCGATGCGACAACATCACTGGCAACAATAATTAACGAAACACTTCTCTGTTAAGCACATGCATCATCATCAACTACGTAATTTAAGCACAATGCATCATCATCAACTGCGTGATTTAAGAATGATTACGTAGATGATGGCCTTGTGTTCACATGCAGATTTTCATTGTAGTAAAAAAATGTATGATGCTTTTCGTTCATTGAGACAATGTGGAAGAATTGGTCCATTCGACTGAAATCCCACCATAATTTGATTCTTGGTTGCGTTATCTGAGTATGGATGCCCGAGGAGATCTATTTTCACGAGCCTGCTTCAGCCAACACGCACGAGATTGCTCAGGCGTCGCCTTGTCTTTCGTGTCAGCCTAATTTGATGTTTATTGACCTTAAAGGCTGATACAACATAAAACTAAAAGATCTCTTTAGTGCTGCTTATGTAATTAAACGTAATCGTCCACTCTCGAAGATCAAGAAGAACTCAGGAGGAGGCAGGGAGAACCACACATAAGCAGAAAGGCAGCCACACGGTAAACCGTTGCCAACAATTGCTCAAGCTCTGCAGTCCTCTAACTATGAAGCTGTTATAGGCCAATTAATGAGTTCTCACACGTAGGAGGAAACCGGAGCACCCGGAGTAAACCAACGCGTGCGAGGGGGGGGGGGGTGACATTATATCACATAGAGACTAAATAGGTGGAGTCCAAATTTTTGTTGTACTGCTTTCTCCTGCCAAACCAGGATATGGCATCTCAATTCCCACGGGAAGGGAGTTCGCAACATTTATGTGATGCACCATCTCTCGCCTCCACAGTGCTCCATGACAGGCCACATGCGTAGCCACCACCGCCTGGTTGTGATGTAAAATGTGTGTATGCCATTTTAAACTGCGAACACTCCCATGATGTGCGGTGTAAATAGTCGCTCAAGAATCCCAAATGGCAGAATCAGGCCATTGTTGCTGACAGGCAATCCATCCCAACGTAAACCAAGAACTGTCATCGTAAAGTGTACGAAAATCGCGGCTGTTCTTATCTTGTGCAGTGTCCCGAGGTGTCCCGGCACAAGTTTTAAATTTTGTTAATGCAGAAAAAAGTATTCAACATTTCCTAACTCTGCTTCTCACCCCCCCCCCCCCGCCCCAACAACGAAGAAGCAGTTGATAATACAATATTCCACATTATCATCGTAAATGTAAGCAATACAAATTAACTCATGATTAATTTTTGAAAGTTATTGTCAAGCGTGCCATATAGAAGAGGCACTCTTGCGATGTCACTCGATAGTCATCATCAGCATGTTGTGGATAACACGAAATTTTAAAAAGTGACTGCCATTGGCAGTGTCAATACCACTGCCCTGAAGGGAATATATATAAAACATAGGTTACTTTTTGTGTCGTTTTTTCATTAAATATATCTTTAGTCAAAGCGCCACCTATTATAAACGAGGCAAAGCAATTGCCCACGTGACAACTTCATTTGCTTGGCTTTAACCGGGTAGTTGAGGGTTATAAGAAAACAAAGGACATACCTTAACGATATAAACCAAAAATAAACTAATTATAAATCATGTTGTCCGTGAAAGTATACGTATACAACTAACGGAGCGGTCTTCTTGACGATAGTGTTGAGTTTTGGTTGTCACTCGTGGGTAAACGGATACGTGGGTTCAGCGGTGGACTGTGTGCTTGAGGGACAATGCTAGTTTCCGCAAAGCTGAAAACCTATAATCCGACTGTTGTTATGCTCCCACGTCTATTCTGCCCAACTTCACATCAACCCACAATGACTGGTGTGGTGTAGTTGAGTTAAGCAGTCTCCCCACAAAGCGGACGACGTGAAAGAGATGGCCTTCATCGATGCAGTGATGAATTGACAAAACGGATGCACGTTGTGCATGGTAAAGAGATGTGATAATCGCAAGAGATTCGCGGGATTGGGTTGAAGCAGCTGATGATGTTGAGGTCTCACCATCGAGGTCTCCTGGACGGGTCCAAAGCGCTTAATGATCATGCTGCATGTAACGACAACAGGGACTCCTGTAATAACCAAAACATGGCAGGGCACATACGTGTAAATAATAGGATTGGCCTGTTGACATCTCTTGGAAAGTGGTATGTTATCCTGATTCGCTGCCAAAGCGTTTTTTTGTCACAGTGAAGAAGATTTGTAAATCATATTCTTAGTTCTTTAGGTAAAGTCACGTCGAAGGGAAACAACAAAATAATAGAATATATATAAAACAATAAAAAATTCTCACGACGTTTCGACCATTACACAAACGGTCGTCTTCAGGTGTGTTGGTTTGCATAAATGTATTTTTAAACGGTGCATTTATTTATTTATAAAAAAACGTTAGCGCCACGCGCAACGATTTGGCAGTTTATTTAGAATATAGATGGACTAGTCCTAAATAAACTGCCAAATCGTTGCGCGTGGCGCTAACGTTTTTTATAAATAAATAAATGCACCGTTTAAAAATAAATGTATGCAAACCAACACACCTGAAGACGACCGTTTGTGTTATGGTCGAAACGTCGTGAGAATTTTTTATTGTTTTATATATATTCTATTATTTTGTTGTTTCCCTTCAACGTGACTTTGCCGAAAGAACTAAGAATATGAATTACTGCAGTCACAAAAGCTTTAAATCAAAATTTAAAAGATTTGTAAAGTACAAAACAATTTGACGGTGTCCAGATATTAACGTTTATTTTATTTAGATATTCATATTCTTAGTTCTTTCGGTAAAGTCACGTTGAAGGGAAACAATAAAATAATAAAATATATAAAACAATATTTAGATGTTTATAAATGAATAAATGGAGGGGAAATGTATGGTAAATGTTTTATTTATATAGCATCTGCTTATATATACCACGCAGACCCTCCACCCCCATTGATAACCGCGTGTTTAATATTGTGCAGTATGCCCATGCCCTATGTACTGTCGTTGTGTTTAAAATACGGTCTAGGTCAGGGGTCGGCAACCAAAATAACAGGAGGAGTCGTTTTTGTAAATAAAATAAAAACCTTCAATATTTCAAGAGCCGCAGTCAATTTGAATACGAGACGGTGGTTATTCATAAATAACGTCACGAAACAGTTCTTAAAGAGCTGCATGCGGCACGGGAGCCGCAGGTTGCCGATTCCTGGCCTAGGCCAATGAGTGAAAAATATGTAATTTGATGCTGGTTGTAACTACCAGTGAAACATCGTACCCAAATCGTTAAATGTTGCGGATTGTTCAACATACCGGTGTTCTAAAGTATTAACACATTTTTTTATTTAAAGCTTTCGTGACTGCAGGGATTCATATTCATGGTTCTTTCCGTTCTACGTGACTTTACCGAAAGAACCAAGAATAGTAATACATTGGCACGTTTGTTCACGTGCAAACTTTCTTCATTGGTTATCGGGTGGATGTGGGTGTATGATGAGACATTGTACTCACGCGATCTGACCTCAACATCGATTATGAACTGCGATTGACTTGATTCATTACCATGATTCATTTGTTCATTGTGAAATGTTAATTATTCGTGGTAGTGTTAGCGGGGCAAAGATGATCGCTTGGTTAGCTTGAGAAACCTTACTAATTAGCTGTATCGGGTAATGGGTTAACGACACTTTTATTTTTACACCATCGAACCAAAAACAATCTTTCATATGATCACTTGGTTGCATAACAGCCAACTATAAACCAGATGTGGATTGAGGAGAGGTGCCCAATGGTGGTGCAAAATAACGCATGGTAGGAAATGTGAGAGTGTGCGCATTAGAAGGAGACTTACCATTAATATTGGGCCTCAGTCTTCGCTCATATCCCTTGTCCAGGCTCACGTTGTTCATGGCGAGGAATGTTCCATCAACCAGAATGATAAGAGGGCTGCATCACACACACACACAAAGGTCATACATCCCTCCCCCTTCCCGTTTAGTCGTATGCGCGTTATGAAGAGTGTTAATGGGAACCTACTGCTTCACTGTGTACATATCACGCCTGACCACCTTTGTCTCTCGAGGAATGTTGATTATATACCACGTCAGATACTCTGTTAAGGCTGAGATAACCTAGGATGAGATCCATAAAATGTTCAGATACCACTCGCTACTGATGCGCCGAGTCAGAAATCGATCTCGGCTCCCTTGATTCGGAGCGCAATGCGCCAACCACCCGCCACACACACACACATCATTTGACTCAGGCGTTTTTGCTGTGCTCGTGGCAACTTCAACTGTTGGCCATGTCATCAAACGCCATTCTGGCGCCTGAGTAGTGGTTTAGACATATAATTATTGAGGAGCTAATGCATTATGAAGCCATTTTATTGCACGTGCAGGCTTTGTAAACAATTACCAAAAATACTGTATTGTTATCGTGAAGATGTATGTATGCATGCAGGTTGAACTTCTTTCACACCGTATGTAGCCAACCATGCTAATCGGAGGTGCGGGATGTATACCAAGGCTGTATTGGGTTGTCCAACGCGAGTTTCCACCTTTGTTAATATGTACGTAAAAGTTGTGTAACTTTAAAGTTGCTTAACTCTAAATATGAGAATGCATTCGTCAGTTCATATATGGCATCTAAACTCGCTTTAAAATATTACTGCAGCAATGAACGTTGTCCAGTGCGTTCTTCCATGGCCCAGCTTGAGGAGTTAACACTGCGCCGCACTGGTTATGAATTTTGTTTTGCATTAATTGCAAAAGCATTTTATACTTGTTACACTTGCCTTAAATAATGTAGCGACCACAAAAGGGAGCCGTAATGTATGGTCGGCCAGGTTTATGATAGTTTCACAGGATGGCCCCCTCTCCCGAACAGAGGACAGCTGCTCTTAACTACCTCGCTTGGTATACCGTGGGTTCGATCCCGACCCTGACGCCTGCTGTATATTTGGAGTTTGGATTTTTCCCCGGATCATCCGGTTTTTCCCTCCACAATGTGCGTTTAGATTATTTGGCTGCTATAAATGTCCACATGATAAGCCAATTCGTTGAGCTATCATTTGTGGCCAGGTCGCTTGTGAAGAAAAAGAGCTGTATAGCTCAGTGGGTCTTACCCGGTAAAATTAAAACAGTTTTAGTTTAGTTTTTACAATAACCGCTAACCCCCCCCTCCGATCAACACACGACTCAAGTCCGCCTCTGCATTCTCACTGGGGGGGGGGGGGCCCGCAGCTGTTTCGTCTTCATGCCTCAGCTCAATAAAACGGGTTCGTCTGGTCGACTGCCCTCTCCGACTTCCTGTGCTCATGCTCCTTCGTACCCTGACCCGTACCCTGAGCCACACCTTGCGCTACTGTTCTCCCACTCTCTTTCAGATGCGCTGCTTCTGCGCCGTCTGGAACGCTCTTCCTTCCGATATTAGGAAGCTACCGGAGCTGAGCACTTTTAAATATGAATTGCCAACTCACTTCTTTACAATTGCTTTTTGTGTTCCGTTTGAATGCCCATCCCCCGCACCTCCAATTAGCACGGTTGGTTACGTACGGTGCGAAAGAAGTTCAACATACACACTTACAGTGTCCACATAATATACTCCCTGTAATTAGTTCACGGCCAGTTCAAGCCTTGCCCCCCCCCCCCCCCGCCTAGTATGGATCTCCGCACGCCTTATGTACCCACTCACCCTACGTGTGCCACCACTCGTTTTGGTCCCTACAATAGCCATCTAATCGAACACAAAATGCTGTTATAATAATGGATATAAACGTTATGGGTGGAATGCGATATCAGTTCGCACACTAGGCCATGGACCCAGTGCGTCCGATCGCAATTCACGACCACGGCTAATGTGAGTGGCTCGTGATATCTTGAACCCTCTTCACCAACTTGCATTCATCGCCCCCAGTAAGCCAGAACCCTCACCCTAGCACCCCTCAACAGCGTGACGAAGTATGGTCAAACAATTCCCATTTTCCAACACGGAGTAGCATGGAAGTCTTCCTCCAACAGTGTGAAAAAACAGTAGCACGCAGTTAGGATACAAATATGCCAACTGCGGGCTACTGTTCTTTTCCACACTTTTGGAGGAATACCTCCATGTGTTGGAAAGTGGGAATTGTTTTGACCATACTTGTTTGACCGTACAGTTCGTATAAAAAAATAAAAAATATATATACTCACTGAATCATTGCACTCAGTAAATTAGATTTAGAGGCATAATTATTTAATGACTACATAATAATTTACAATGCGTTGCTTGATCAAGGCATCGTCAACACCGTGTTAGTCATGGGGGGTTGTTTTACTATTCTTCACAACGCTTGTCAGTGGCAGATGGTTAACAGGGGGCAGGAATCGAACTCAAATCGGCGGTTGCTCAGCACAGTTCGCTTCACTCCCAACACACATGTATAACAACACATGTTCAATACACTTTAAGGAAAGACATACTCAAGATGAGTTCATACTGGAACAGAAAGTGTATAATCAATGTTAACTTTTTAAAAAAAAAATGAATAACACGTTGAAGGCGATTCCAACTTTTTAAGAAAAGGCAGTGTCACTGGAATGAATGGCGAGAATTAATAGATGTGTGGAGTCATACACAGTGTTTAAGCTGTGTATTTTGGAGAATTTAGAAAATGTTTAGGTGCGACGCAGTTATTAGAAAGATACTCGTTAGGAGCATCATGAGCACGAATCGAGTGGAGAGTTCTATAAGTGATCAAACTGACACTTAAAGGGTTTTACCAGCAGAGGAATCAAGGAATTTACAGAATGAGACGATATTGGAAGATTTGTGCGTTTTGCGAATGTGACATTGTGTAATGTGAAGATACGTGAGAAATGATCATGCGCAGTGTAGGAAAACACCAGCATTACAACGCTTGTATATTATCTTACGTTGATTTGCTATAAAAAAAGACCATGGGTGAGCTTTGAGCTGCTGCATGAAGGTGGATGATGACGATTGGATGCTGTGTATGTGCAGTGGGCCAAAGTTCCAGATGAATGGTGCACCTACAGAGAAACTATACTGTACTTACAAACAATAAACTGCCATGTCACAGCGAAATCACGATTGACACAAAACACATCATTACCAGAATATGAGCCACGCTACCACCGCGCTGTGCAGTCCACTGGCAGCCATCAGTTGACGATGACCGCCTGTCAGCAGCAGGAGGACTGGACAGGAGCCGCTGGTCAATTCACAGCGATACAGCGATCCGGCACTGAACCGAGCTACGCACACTCGGCGCAGAGATCATATGGAGGCTGTAATTTTATACAAACAGTAGCAGCAGCAGCAGCAGGTGACATGACCACTGGGGCCTTATTGCCACATTCGTGGGCATCACGTTTCACTGTTTGACGTTTGAATGTACGGTGTGCTTGTGCGGAATATCGAGACGGATACATGTGTGCACCTGCGTGCGTGGATGAGTGTGCTCACAAACAACCCCTCCAGGCTCAGTGACATGTGCTCTTTGTTTCGTAGATGTACAACCTGACCAAGAAGGGCTCCATTTCAACATCGCTCCAGAAATGTCCTGGCTGCTGTATTTTCAGAATATTTTGCAAGTGCTTAATACAATGGTTTTGTGGTTCATATTCTTGGTTCTTTCGGTAAAGTCACGTAGAAGGGAAACAATAAAATAATAAAAATATAAAACAATAAAATTCTCACGACGTTTCGACTGCAACACAAGCAATCATCATCAGGTGTGAAAACCATAGCAAGAACATTTTCTTGCTGTGGTTTTCACACCTGATGATGACACACCTGATGACGACCGTTTGTGTTATGGTCGAAACGTCGTGAGAATTTTTATTGTTTTATATATATTTTATTATTTTATTGTTTCCTTCAACGTGACTTTACCGAAAGAGCTAAGAATATGAATTTACCGAAAGAGCCAAGAATATGAATCCCTGCAGTCACGAAAGCTTTAAATCAAAGGTTTTGTGGTTCTTAAATGACGTACTTTGAAATGAACGATGGTTTACAACATTAAGTTCAACTAGTTCTGCGGCTAAGATTCATGCTTTGAAAAATAATGTAAGATTATATTGATCTGTTACACAGTCACCTTCAACCAGTTGGCCAGCTATCTTACAAGAGAGATCCGTGACGCGTGGAGCACAGCAACAACGAAACAAAAACGTCCTGGTCAGCTAAACCTGAAGGAACACTTACGATTCGCTCTTTTTCAGAAGCGACCTGGCCACAAATGATACCTTAACGAAGTGGCTTATCCTGTGTAAATCTATAGCAGCCAAATAGTCTAAACGCAAAATACTCTAAATCCACCGCGACCACGGCACAACATGCAAACTCTAAATATACAAGCATCAAGGTCGGGATCGAACTCACAACCTCCTGTATACCAGTAGAGTAGATACAAAATGAATGAATGAGTGCATAGAATCACCAAAACATACTTTTATGTTACATTGAGTATCATTTTATTTTTTATTGACATTTTTACAAAAATCACATGACAATGCAATAATTACATTATATATTTAAGTACATGTTTACGTTAGGTGGTTTTTGTATTTACATTCTGTTCTACTTTCAATACGATGCACCCATGCATACTCATGCCAATGCTGCAACTATTAAACTGTAGCGACATACTCTGAGCAGACGAACGGTAAAAATAGGTCAAGTTCTACTTTAAGTATGATGTTATTTGGGTGAATTTTCTTAGAATTAAGTACGGCGGTCACATCTCAAGCATCAACAAATGCGGCGTCCATTTGGTGAAACACCTCCAACAGGATTTGATTAATCTTAAATGTGCTCCAGTTATTAAATATTTCTATGCCAACGTGTTCTCTCACGTTGGATAATTTAACGATGACCTTCGTTTCAGGGCTCCGGATCAATAGTTTTTAACACTGCCGCGTTAATGTTGCGCATTCTCTTTTGACACACCATCCAGAGGGAAGGGCGTGAAATGAGCGCCGAGGGAGATTGCTACGACCGCGTCGCTCCCACCGGTGATGTTATCATTTCGATTCGCAGCGTATTTGAGGTCTTCTGGATAAGTGTTTGCCGACGCTATAAATGGGTAGCTGTGACAAAACCATTGCCACGTGATGTCATAGCTTTCATTTACAGCTATTTTTGGTTGATGCTTTCCGGGTTTGTGATTATCTAAAGGTTTAAGATCTGGGAGAGAAACAGCACACGCACGTTTTCAAATTATACTCTTGCATCAGTAAATTGTGATGTAGCGCCATTGCCCTCAATATATTGCTCCAATTTAATCTTTATAACGTCTAATTATCTGATGACAATCATAATAGCAACCACTGATAATGAGCTACGTGATATTATTAAACAATTGAATCAAGTAAGTGTGTTCTTACCTTTAACAAAATGGACGATATATTCCCACCATTGTCGTATAGTGGAATCACCAAAGGGAAAAACACCCATTTTCTTTCAAGCAGTTCATAACGGACGTCTCCGATTCAAAATGGATATTCTCGCAATTGGAGGAATGCCATACATTTTTTAAAGAAATAGCCGCTTGGCAGTGGATTTCCTAATCCCGTCATACATTTTTGTAAATTGTTTCCAAATGAATCTGTAAAAAAACAAATTGATAATCATTTAAATATCTTTGGAGTCCAATGAGTTCTATATATTTTGTAAGAGGGTATTGCCATACGATTAAATTACAGAAAATATAAAAGCACACCACAATTACCGATATATTTAATAAATAAAAAATCCATAATAATAAGAAACAGAAGTCAAAAGTGGGATACACGGTAATATATAAACTAAAATTTTCTCTAAAGTTATTTTTATTTGCAACATATAGGCGAAGTGTCATTCGGCCATAATATGCCATTGTAATTTCTCAACAAGACCCCAGCATGCTTAAGGAACATCTGCCACATGTTACAACATGACAAGTGCTTCGCATGATAACTCTGCATAAAATGTCGTCCCTAAAATTGAACGTCATACTCTAGTTCGATATATTGAATGTATTCTGTGTTGATGTGATGCCCATTCAATGCTATGTTGTTAAAATGTATCCCGAAATTATGAAACTGAGACTTGCTCTTATCATTATCATTGTTACTGCGCGTTTTCATCCAGGAAGGCCTCACTGAATCTCGAGACCTCTTCAGCAGGGTAGTGCTTTATTCACATAATTGTGTTTTTGTATTGAATTTCATATATTAACTTCTTGTTTTGACTCTACCGCATTAGTGCAGTGCTGGTGACATGGCACAGCATTAGCACTTTCACCGCTTGTTTCAGAGGTTTACGGTTCAAATCCAGCGGCGACCCTGGCTATTACTGCGGCTGTATTAACCATACAAATTCGGGCCGTCTGTTTCACAGTGGATGCTTATGATCCGGTGACGTCATTCGCATGAGAAGACCATTGCGTTATGGCGTCATGTAGTCGTTGGGCCAGACCAGATATTGGTACCACCCAAGGTGGCACAACTTCAACGGTGCCATTTTATTTGTTACACCAACAGAAGTAAAATAATACATGATAACCTTTCCAAATGAGCAGCTGTTTATTTTTTTCTCGCAGGAAACCTGTTTTTGCACCTATCGCAATCATGCCTATTTGCCCGGACGTTACAAATAAAACATTCCAACACCTCTGCTGTATGCACAAAATTGATGTTTGTCCCCAAGGCATGTATTCCATACATATTCTTGCATTCATTCACGCTTGTTCTTCAATTTCAGTGACTTAGTCAAGTCTGGAATAGATTGGCGCTATCTGGCTTCATTTTGTTTCTTGCAGATTGTTTGCTCATGATCATTTACTGGCAGGTGAGGCAAGTACTGGTGGTTCTGTATTATTTCTGTTCAGTAAAGATATCTAAAGTTCTAACTTTACCCTCAATGTATTGCTAAAAGTACATGTTAATATTATTAGTTAAGGCTGCAGATACTACAGGCAAAAATAATGATTTTTGTTCAGTTTGTCAATTTTTATATTTTTGTTATATTTTGCTTCTATAAATTGTAAACTTTCATAACATGTACGCAATTATTACCAATAACTTTGTTATTGGTAATTTATATTTTATAAATAGTTCGTTTTGACGATTTTATACAAACTTTGCCAAGTAAACAAAGACTTAAATTAGTGGGTTTTTTTGCATCTTTCATCACAATTTGTCTCCGCATTTTAAGAAATAACCTGGTTGAATTGCATATCATTGAAAAGTTTATTCTCTGCAGCCGTGCGAAGCTGCTGTGAACCAGTCAAACAATGAGCTGTTCCTCTTCATCAGGATGGAGCTTTTTGGCAATCCTCAAGTGATGACAATGACTGATCTCACTTATAGACTGGTTGCTTCAATGAACTCCCTAGGCATTGTCCAAGTCAAGGAATCAACCAAAACGCACATAAGGCAAAAGCTGGAGAGTGCGTTTGCTGATGGGAAAGGAAAACTCCATCCAGGTAACCTGTCCATGAGGGAACTTGCCAAAGAAAATCAGTCTCTCAAAAGGGAGCTACAGACCCTAAAAAGTGTCGGTGCTCAAGTTGTTATAACGAAATCAGCCATCATATTGAGAGAGGACATCAAGAGTCAAGATGTTCCTCAAGCCTGGCCGCCTGAAGTCAAACCAGAAGCAGAATGTCCTACCATTCTAGAGTCGCTCATTGTCTTCCTGTACTATCTACTCACAGGCGTAAATGATCCTGATCATTCATCCCATAGAGTTCAGCGGATTCTGCAATCATTTGGCCATGACATAGTTTATGCAGTGACATGTGGAAAGACCAAGCCTTCCAAGCATATTGGTCTGCCATTCAGTGTCAAGTCATTGTCAGGGAATGTAGAGCTGATAAACATCCTCAACCGACTTGGTCACAGTTTGTCCTATTCGCAGATGGAAGAGACCGTCACTGCCCTGTGTCTTCAGAACCTCTCATCATCAGGGAGAGATATTGCCCTACCAGCTAACATCCGTCCTGGTATATTCACAACTTTAGCCTGGGACAATGTCGATCGCCTTGAAGAAACCGTCAGTGGTGAGGGAACATCTCACAGAGTCAATGGGATTGCTGTGCAAGCAAAGCCAGTCAACCCAGTTCCTGCCCAACCCATGCCCACTGTTGCCAAAACAAAGCAGAGAAGTATTAATGCACCCCCGCCAATCTTACCAACTTACAACACTGGACAACGAGTGGGGCCATCACAAAGCAAAAGTGCAGATGCCGATACCGCAGCCAATACTCAGCTTGCCAGAGAGAAGAACCTTGTTTGGGTCCTAGCACGCATGTCATAACAAGAAG